TGAGAATGTGTTCCAAGAAGAACTATTAAGAGACGCGATTTTACCAACCTCCTCTGCGTCAATGTATTCATCACCATTCAAGTCCCACTGTTTGAAAGTGTTCAGAGGGTCTTCATAGTAAACACCTCGGTTATCTGTTTTCTTAGGATTATCACTGAGTTTTTTGTTTTCAGCCATAGCTATGATGAGTTCACATTCGTCCTCGTCAAGAAAATCGGGAATCTCTGTAAAAACGATGAATGAAATTGAGAAAAGCAAGTTTTTTAAATGAGCAATGTTCTACAGGCATGGTAGCAATTCCAACTACTATAGCATTATTTGACCATGCCTCGCACATGATGAGTGTAGAGTAATCCTCCTCTCACTTAAATCACTCTCCGTGCGAAAATTCCATAACTCCCAAGATCAAGTTAGTAATTCTCCCTACTGAAGGCCATACATTTCCTTATAAATTATACGTATAGGAGACACAAGTGTAGAAACAAGACAGCGGGGCGAACTTACAGTGGGGCGAAACCACGAGTTACCCGTTAGCGAGTATACCATTTATCATGTTTTCATGTGGCAAGCGCTGTGTATATTCAGCAGTTATGACGAAAGTGTTTCTGTTGTTGATAAACTGATCAATGTCAGTATCTGCGCAACTGCACACCTACCCCTTCCCTAACCCAACAACAGTCAAATGGTAACAAATCAGGGTTAAAGCTAGGTTAGGGGAGGGATAGGTGCGCTGTTGTTCAGGTATTGACTTTGATCCTAATTATCTCATAGGACTGATCTCTTACCAAATACAAGAGGACGCATGCTCAGGGTTTTTATGTGACGTTTGATGCCAGGTAGAATTTCAATCTCTTGAATATGACCAACCTATCCAATGTGTAACAAAGGTATCATTATTGTAATGTTTACATTACGACTTGGCTATAAGACATGTTTCAACAAGCTGCGCATAATGGCGGTTTCGTATGATTGCAATGGTTAGAGGAATGTTTTTTATTGGCTTCCTTTGCATTCTTCCTGTGTGAGTCTCCCCACTCAAGAACACACATCGGCTTTCCTTTCTGAGCATCATTGTTTGAGGTCTGGTAGAGTCGCGACTAGACTCAAGAAAGAGAGGGATTGGATCCGACAGAAGAGCGTTATTTCAAAGGTAAACTGTGAAGCTTGCAATTCCAAAGTCAGAGTGTATGCATGATCTCTCTGAAATAAACCAGGCAATCTCGCAAATTACTTGTATTTTTCGGTCTGAGAACATTTCGATGCGACCTTGAAATTTCTTTTAAGCTAAGTTTGCGACACGAGATTGGTAAATGCTAAATCCTTCTACTATCTTTGATAGCTAGATTTATCTAAAAATAGCTTATTTATTAAATCATTGAGCCTGCATGGAAGTCCAGTCTCTTAGCGTTATTGTCTCCTGGTTATGGGCATTAGCTTGTAAACTTATACATGGAAAGTCGGTGATTAAGACAAAGATATAAATACCTATATAATCTGAACGCAATAATGGCATCTAATAAATTATATTCAAGCGAGATCAAAGAAGAATTAAACTTGCCTTAATTCCATCGACAACTGGAACCTGAAGTCCAATCCATTCCGTAGTTGTGTTGCTGTTAGATAAAACTTGTTTATCATTGCTTTCTGATAAATTGTTATGAACCTCGTTACTTTGTTGTCCCTCTTTCAAATCTTGTGAAAGACTTTCAACTTGTTCTGTCTTTTGTATTCTTGGTATTTCTTCCTTTAAGTCCACAATTTCGTCGTTCTGAACGTATTTAATTTCATCTATCGTGTCACAGAAGCCCTCTTCGTTTTCATCGCTATCGCACGTGTGTTGATGTATTGAGATATCTTTTGCTTTGATTTGTAAACCCCTCGCAATGATCAAAACCAAACCTAAAAACCAGACAAAGCGGTGGGATGTTCTATCCGCCATTAGTTGCATCAATCTTGCCTTGTTATGCTCCCGTCAAGGCCTCGGAACCTCGGTCAAAAAATTCTTCATAAATTAATGATCCAAAATATTACGGCTCAGAGGTTTTTCATTCATGTAGAATAAATTGTTTTACTCTAAAGCAGCCATATGAAAGCGTATGATGCCACCAGCGTCTGTGATTGGTCAGTTTGAATGAGCAGGGCAGGTACCAGAAGGGACCATGAGCGTAAAAAATGGGAGGAAGCCTTTTCAGTGCAAAGTGATGCGGGTATTTCGTAAGATGTTGTGCAGTCTGATGTTTTGCTTTTATTTTCAGCTTTAAAGAAGATATTCCGCTGTATTCAATTTATTCAATTGCTCTCATATGGAATAAAACCTTTTGTTCTCAGTTCAGGGAGACAAAGGCAAGAACAAAGAGCAGGGATGATCAATGATGGAAAAGCTGGATTATAAAAGACGTTCTTGAAATATCCAGGCTAAAGTTTCGCATGATACCCGGAATGATACACAAACCATTTAGTGTATAGAGATCCTTTTTAAGTCACTCATGCAGGGTAAAGGTCTTTTTTGCGTCGCCGAACAAGAGAAAAGTCACGAGAAACGACTTCGTCGAACTTTAACAGTCTCTGAAAGGCAAGGAGTTTCCGGGGTTGCCAAAGTGCAAGAATAGCATGCCCGAATTTAGTAGGATAGCCTAAAGTTGATATTTTTGACCCTGGCTCACTAGGGAACACCAGGGTTCCTGTATTTCGACAGCAATTGTTTGGAATACTTGGCATTTAGAATGGTTGCCATGACTTACCAAGAACTCACTAGAAAAAAAAAAGGATCATATGATCGTAATGAAGACTAATTATATCGAGAGAAATGAATGCAACTCGTTTTGTAATAATTGAACGCTGATTAGATATGCATAATTTAGTGAATATCAATTACCGGAAGGAAGTCGCTTTGATCTTGACTAATTTCATTATAAAATTATATTGTAAGCTGAGTTAGAGAGATATTGTTTTTGTTTTTATTATTAGTTTTTTTTTTTTTGCCTTTTACCGCACGGCCATTGGCTGAAATTCTTGCGAGTTGCGATGTTCCTGTTTGTCTGGTCTACAGCTACAAATTAAAGGGGAAGTGAGATAAAATGCGTGACACCTGCCTGTCACACAATACTTATTTCCTCAATCGAGGTCGTACGCTGGCCAGTGTTCACTGAAGTTTAAATCCGCAATAATTTTCGAGAAAACATGATGGATTCAGCAAGCTGCTGTAACTTGGTTATTCTTAGATAAGTTAAATTTATGGATGTCTGGCTCTACATCTGACATCTCAGTGAGGGCCATTGTTAAATTTTGTTTACAAATGATATGCAAATGTGGTGTTCACGGCCGTGAAATCAACTAGTTACGGGAAAGAAGCCATCTAAAAGATCAACTATGGCGCCACCGCGTGCGGATAACAAGAAATTCTCGAAGGAAAGATCAAAACAAAAGGTAGCAAAGAAGCCCTCGAAATCGTCTCTTCCTTCTACGGCAGTGGCCGTCGCTTTAACCGCTCTGGTAGCGATATGTGTAGCTATGTATTACAAGAATGGATCTGGGATCGAGACGAACCTCCGCCAAGCGACGAAGGAAAGAACCAAAGAATCAATAGGAACTTCAAATTCCAAACGAAGTGATTCGAATGGCGATTTTAAAGTTCTACCTCGATTAAATGGTGTGAAGGTAAGAAATAGAGATCCAGTAATACCTCAGAAATTAAGTTTCAGCTCAAGAGCCCATCGTATTAGTGACGTGTCGTTGTATTTAATTCAATATTAAGTTAACAGCTATTTTCTTTGTATTTAATGTATTTCTGCTACCTTCGCTCTATTGTATATTTCGAATATATTGTAGGCACAAACTTAACATGCAATTTAGGATCTCAAGTTGTTGTTTAATTGCATTTTTTTCAAATAAACTATGTATGTATGTATGTATGTATGTACCATGATATCTGGATAACTTATTCCTGCTTGTTCGTAGAATCATGTTTGTCCACGGGTTAT